GGTAAAGTCTCTGGCTTTCAGATAATGCTGCTTTGGGAACTTTATAAGAAATTAAAACTCATTTATAATTCATGTGACAGTGTTATCCTAAGTTACTTTTGGCAATGCAGACTTTGATTAGGTGGGAGAGGACTTTGATTCTCTTTTCTCCATTATTAATACTTGATGTGTCTCAGGAAAATAATGTTTGCTTCTTGTCACATACATTAGCACAAGAGGTTTCAGCTGTTTCAAGCCTTTAAGTTACTGATTTGGTGGGGGAGAGGCATTGTTTGTTGGGTTTTGGTTTGGGATTTTTTTCCTCACTCAGTATTGCGGGTGAATCCCTTGCAGTAAACTTAAAATTACTGAGAACAGGCTTCATTTTCTTCTCTGTGTTTTGTGAGTTCTTTCAGAAGTAGTTTGTGCCCTTCCCAGTTTATGGCACTGAGGTTCACAAGTGTTGTTTGGGTACCTCTCACATTTGGTTTGTTCATTTTCCTAAGACTTGCCTCGGTCTGTTTTTGGTTTGGACGTCTTTAAAATAGCGTCACTAGCAAAGGAAAATGTCAGTGATGTCTGAGGGGACAATATTGAGATTCCGTTGAAAAGTTCTTACATACTTTTCTCAGTAAAGTTTCACAAGCAGTATACAAAGTTACATTACTTTTATGTAAAAAAGAGTAACATCAAATAGTCTATGTGCATGTGATTTAATAGATGTTTCTGTGTATAAGATTTATTTAGTTATCTTTAGAATGTGGTAACTTAAAAGGAAGAGCTAAAGCCAGTTTGTTTGCCTCTGAAACTTAAAAGCAGATGAAAACATTAAACACTGCAATGCTTAGCAAAGCAATTTGTGAAGACAATAAACCACCTTTAAATGCCTGTAGCCTTCCTGTATAAGTGAGAAAATTTTACATCAAGTACCCTTTTCATGTTTACCTTATACCAGTTAGTGAAAACTTAGAAAAAGTGCAGGAAACGAAGTGGGGAGCAAAAAAAGCAGGGAAGTCTGTTTCTCAGAAAGTGATGGTGTCCTGCTATTTCAGGTCACCATATAGATGGAAGCCTTAGAAAAAACCTCTTCTGTTCACTGGCTCTGAATAGTGCATATTAAAATACATCGTTTAGTGTTCAATACTAAATGAATTTGAATACATGTGGTCTTTTCTTTTAGCCAGTATATTTTAAGGTTATTTTTATAAATATTTGAAGATGCTTATTTTGCTCCTTCCATATCCAGTTCCTGTTTCTGTCAAAAAAAAAAAATAGCACGACGAAGATATGTTGAAATAAATAGAAAATTAGAAATAGTTTTGGCCAATTTTCACATGATATTTGAAAAAAGGCTCTTGCATATACAGTTGCATAAAGGAAGTGAGGTAATTGCTTAAGTATTTGTGTAGTACGTATTTCTGATTAGTAAAGAAAGTTTTTACACTGAATTTGGTAATGAATCTGTGTACTTGAGAGCCAGCATGTTTTATAGTTGCTGGCCTATGAAAACCAACATTTTATCAGGAAGACAGTGAAAGTACAAATGCAATACAGGATTAAAAGCTTTCAAATAGAGTGCACAAACTAAAATTAGCAGTTTCAAATGGCAGTGATTTTATATCTGGATGGCATAAATTGAATTAACCAAATGTTGAAGTTCCTCAAGGTTTTACACAGTTGTTACTGTCTTGTCATACTGTTATGCATGAAAATAGGAATCAACTCCATGTCTTGACCTCTTGCTTTGCACTTCACTGCCCGATTTCTCTCCCCAAAATAGCAATAATAAGGTGAAATAATCTCTCTGGGGAAAGTCGAAGACTCTAGGCCATATTATATTGCAGCGTGATGGAGGAGAAGCAGCTACATATGCTAACAACTAAAACCCGACTGGCTTTTTACTCTGGCCCCGAAGCCAGCTGGCACCAAATGAAAGTCTGACCTTCCAAACCAGAATGGACACGTCCCCACTGCCCGCTGGGTCCCAGGTCTGTGCTGACACCTGAAACATGCTTGGAGCAGCCTGGAGGAGTGCTAGGTGGCCTGGGTCAGTGCTGCTCTTTGATGGGGAGGTGGTGGAGTCCTTCAGCGCCACTTCCCGTAGGAGTGTGGACTTGGCCTCAGTGTCCTAGGACATGATAACCTGCTGAGAAGGAAGCCAGGAGGGGGACGAATGCCGCTGGTGCTGCCTTAAAGTCACTTCCTGACTGCTGTGTCTCTTGGTCACCTTTTCAGATGCTGGTTGATACAGCTGCAGAATGATTTTTATCCCCCCCCCAAGTTGAATTAATTTCTTTGAACACCTTGTGAAATAGTAAGGTAGTTGTTGTCTCAGGGGCAGGTTAAACAGAGGAGATCTGGAGGCATTTGTTACCTTAGACCTTCTTACGCTCCAAACCAGTGCTTCGCTTTGTGCATAGTTGAGGATCAAGGCCTGAGGATAAAGAAAAAAAAGCTGGAATACTAAACGTTCTTTTCAGTGCAGAATGCATGAGAAACAGATAACTGATAAGCATTTTAGCAGGTACAAAAGTTTATTGGAAGTTATTTTAAGCATTTTAAGCTTAAAAGCTTTTTAGCAGGTACAAAAGTTTATTGGAAGTTAATTGTGTTAACTGGACCATGTAAAAAAAAATACATAATGTCGAAGATTTTAGGGTAGAGATATAGCCAGTCCGGTAAAAAATAAATCTCCTGTGATCCAATCAAGTAAAAACTGTGTGTAGGAGTTCCAATTCAGCTGAATTTGTAGAAGTGCTCTTAATATTGTTACACTTCCATAAAAGAAATTTGTATTTCTTTCTTTAACGGTTTGAAAATTTGGTTGGTTTTTTTTTGGCATTAAATTATATGCAAACCTGCCTCTTACATTATTAGTGAAACAGCTAAATCTTTACTGGATTTATTTTAATGAAATTTCACAAACTTTTACCAAGGTATTATGTATTTAGATTAAAAAGTGCTACCAAAATCACTGAAATACATTTTTATTATTGCTAGTGTGATTTAACAGCTGGAAACAAAGGGAGTGGCACTGTGTGCTCTGCTTTGAAGGCTAATGGTTATCTTGAACTACAATGGTTTCAACTTTGGTTTAAGATGTAAACAAGCTTATTTTAGCAATTGAAAGAGTTTGGATTCTGGATGGAAAGATGAACTGAGGGGTGGAAGAAACAGTTTTTTTCTTAATTTAGGATGAAAATAGTATGTGAGGTTACTTCTTCATACTTAGTGTATGAAATACATATATATGAATATTTTGAGAGCTGGGTCTGGCAGGGCCAGTTTAAATGTTGCATTAAGTGCATTATTAGCCGCTCTTACACTGAACTGGTGTAAGAAAGTTAATTTCCTAGGTACAGATCACAATGTAAAAAAACCCTAAATTAAAAAGAGACTGTCTTCACCTACTGGAGGTTTGAATATTGTAAAGATATCATTGCAATGGAAAAAACCTCATACTTAATTTGGCAAGAAAAGACAGTGAAAGAGTAAAGTAGGTTTTGCCCAATACC